TAAAAGGCAATTATTTATTTATTTATTTATTTTTATGGTTTAACAACTTAAAAGAATCGAATGAAAAAAATAGAAAAAAAAATTTACTTTTAAATGTCGTCGTATACATTTCAACATTTTTTTACATTAAAAAAAGGAAAAAAAAAGGAAAAAAAAGGATATATGTGTAATTATTTATATTTCGGCATAGTTATAAATTTTTTTTCCTTTTTCTTTTTTCTTTTTTTTTTTAAATGTAAACTTTTAAAAAAAAAGATTTTTTTTTTTATTTATTTTACATAAATTTTTTTTTTTTACCTGAATCAAAAAAAAAAAAAAAAACATCAACATTGTTTATTAGATAAAAAATTTGAAATATGAGATAGATATGAATATATATAATGTAAATAATTTTCTTCTTTTTTTCCTTTTTTCCATAATTATAAAAAAAATTTATTTTATTTCTTCTTCTTCTTCTTCTTTGCACAAAAAAAAAGTTAGTGGTTTTTTTTTAAATAAAACTTTTTTGTTCATTTGGTTACGTGTGGTATTATCATGCCAGAGCCTGAGGCATTCAATAAGTTTAAAAACTCTCATATAGAAAAGAAAGACTTTGAAATATTGTTTAATATGAAAAAAAAAAAAAAAAGAAAAGTGTAATCCTATTTCTAAACTTCTTTTTTTCTTCTTTACAAATTGACTTATTAATCAAAGTTATTCTTTTTCTTTTTTTTTCTTTTTCAAATCAAAAAAAAAAAAAAAAAAAAAATTGGATTATTTCGAATAACTAAACTTTATTTAAAACCAAAAAAAAAAAAAAAATTAATAAAATCAACGTGTAATAAAATTTAAAATAAAAAAAAAAACTAACATTTATTAATTTTTTCAATTCTTTTACATCTATCTAAAAGAAAATAATAATAATGATAATAATACAAATCCCATAGAATAAGATGGACTCGAAAAGACTTTTATAGGAATTTATGTGGTGACGTTTAGGTTATATAAAAGACGAAAACATATTCGATGACGTAGAATATCCGATATTTATTCCCTAGGGAACAATGTGAGAAACCTGAAAATAAATGTTGAAAACAATCCGACAAACACATGACGAATATGTCGTGATAATAATAATAATAATGCTGCTAAGGATAAAATTTTCCGAATCATTTTTTTGCGCGATTTTTTTTTTTTTTAATTAAGTTAAATGAAATTTTAAATGTATAAAAAAAAGGAGGTTTTTTTTTTTATTCGAGAATAAAAGAAATTTTGTTTTTCCGGATAGGAAAAAGGAAAATTTAGTCGAAAACACTTTTTTTTGTTTGTTTGTTTTAAAACACAAATTTATTTATAAATTATTATTATTATTATTTTTTTTTTTTTTTTGGGAAAATGTATATTTCGAATGAATAAAATTTATTATATTTCGCACCGTAGTAATAAAACCGTTTTTTTTTTTTTAAACGGAATGCATTTTTTTTTATTTATTATCAATTAATAACTGCAGTGGTAGTAGTGGAGTAGTGGTGGTGGTGGTAGCATTAATAGCAGTAGTAATAATAATAAATTGAT